TAGAATGATAGTACAGATATGACAAAATATGTATTATATGCTATATTATTTTACTATTGATTCACATGAAGTGAAATATAGGGTAAAGTGATTCTCCAAGGACCCTTAGTTTACTGAAATTTTTATCTCACTTTGTGTTAGGGATATCATTACAAGTACCAACAATGATGATATTGGAGCATTACGCGACAAGAAGCCAGACATAACATGATAGTAGCATATGGATTCTGATTACCATTTTGTTATGTATATGTAATCAGATATGATCAAATAGTATAATGACGAGATGTATTTTGAGGACTTTAAGCTTAGCCACTTACATTTTGTATATTCTTGATGTATATTTGATGATGAGAGCATCAATGTGGCTATGTAATATTACATTTGTATTTCAAAGTCCAATTATGTAATTATGTCAAGACAAGGATGATGTGCATTATTCATTTTGTATGATGGATGTAAAAAATGTTGATATGTCATCTAGTAATGCAAGAAATGTATGAATCAAGGGTTTGAAGCCTAAGATATATGTATGATAAGAGAAATGCAAGAAGATGTAAGTGCACCTATGTTTGTTGGGCATATAGCTGCTAATTTGGTCAATTAGGTACCAAGGATTGGGGTAAATTATCCCTAGATAGCAAGTGATCCGAAATGAACCATGAAGGGTTCTGGGGAGCGCGCAGCAGAGCACTAAAGTGCATTCCTGTTAAATAAAAAGCTTTTAAAGCACGCGCTAAAGCACGCTAATTTAATGCTGAGGTAGTAGCTCACGCATCCAGAGCTCTTAAGCACACTAAAATGAGATAAAATACCTTATGAGGGTGCTAACACGTGCTAGGGCACGCTAAAGCGCGCTAAGTGGCCTAGAAATTCTATCTGGCTCTAACTTTGCACGCTAGAGCGTGCAGTTCAAAAGAAAGTTATGTGCAGCAGCGCGCTCAAGGGCTCTAAAACATGCTGCCCAGAAATGAATAAAATGAGTTTTAGGCCATGTTAGTTTATGGAGACCTCAGGGTATTAGTAAGCAATGTAAGATACAATCGAGATAAGTACGACGCTTCTAATTAATGTATATGATTAGAGTTTTTGAATTAATTGAATACAAAAAGATTTTTTATAAGTATGAAAACGGTTGTAAACAGAAAATGAAAAATTTATCTGTAATTAATTCAACTACTGTAATTGTAACTGCGCTTAATACCATATGTGATGATAACAAATTGGTTGCAAACGGGATGTTACACTTAGTATCTTGTATATCCTAGGATAAGATTGAATTAATAATTGTGATAGTATACATATTACGAATTATCTAAATATATTGGTGATAATTTTTTATATCAAAGTTTGCTTGAAATGATAATATATAAATAAAAAGGGAACATTTGCAAAAAAATTATAATACTCAAATGACCCCCCTTCTTCCCATCCCCTCTTGAGTTTTGAGTATGAACACCATATTCCTAACAGAAAATATGTGATATATATCAAGAAATAAAAATAAATAAAATTATGCTACATCAATCATGCATTTCAGCTAAGTTAACATTTAGATGTGTTTAATTCACTTTTTTTTACTATATCATTGAATTATAAGTTGATCATGTTGAGAATGGTGCTTTTACATGTATATCTATGTTTATATTTTGTTTAAATGTTTAAGTGAGTCAAAAGGCAGAAGTAGGATTTTTTCCATAGTTTACTACAGCTGAAAAAGGTCATAGTTTGAAAGCTTCAAATCATCGAGAATCTACTCCTCACTGTTATGTTCTTTACTTTTTTTTATTTTTTTTTTACAGAGATAAGGTCTTAGAGATGTAACAAGCAATATGCATAACAATTTTGGATAACTCATGCACACTTTGTCAACTGTAGGACTAGATATCTATTTTGAAGATGAAGTGTTATTTAGATATAAATATTATAATTAAAGTTGTATACAGGTTTAAGCTACTTGGTTTAGTGGTGAGAGTTTGGGTATGTTATATTATGTTATGTGTTCAATTCTCACTCTTGTATAAAAAAAATGTTGTATACAAGTGGCAAAGAGTTAATTTGTAATATAAGTTTTTTTTTTTTGGGAAACATTTGTAATATAAGTTAATTGTTAGTTCATTTGAATTGGCGTTGTACAGAGTTATGTGAATTCAGCCATGAAGTTAATTACAACCAAATTATTGTATTGTGTGTGCTTAGAAATGAGAAAAGATTTGCCAAAGAAATATAACATTAACTAAGTCATATTATAATAAGCCTAATATTTCTAAGTTACCAAGAGATATCACATTTAGTGGTATCAAAGTACTTCATCCATGTCAATTGTGTGCATGAGTCTGTTTAGTTTGTCATAAAAGTGCTCTATAACAAAATCATGAGTACTAGCTGTGATTACACAACTAGTTATTTCTCACAATCAAGAAACTATAATGGGAAAATTACTATATATATCGTCAAAGTGATTGCCTTTCTCGAATTTACTAAAATTGTGTGCTTACATACAACTTTTTTAAAAAGTAAAACTGTAATTATGTGTGAAATCATTCATTTACACAACAAATTCAAGTTAATAAATTCCATGACTTTTGTCAATAAGAAACCATGAGGAATTTTCACTTTCACCTTTTTTTATACATTTTTCAATAGCACTATAATTAGTCTAATTATTAGGCACTAGGAGTGTGCATGGTGAGTTCGGTTCATTTTTTTTTGTCAAATTGAATTGAATTGAAAATAATAATAATTCAATTCTGAGAGCTGAATTGGTTTATTAGTTTAGTTCTGTTCTGAATTGGTTCATAATGAGTTCAGTTCAGAATTAGTTGTGAACTGGTTTTAAATCAGTTCATAATTCATTTTTAAAATCAATTCTGAATCTAAATAAAAATTATAAAAAGGTTGAATAAAAAAAATTAAAAAAAATATATAAATGATACTGAAAATTGAAAAAAGCAATAAAAACTTAAATAAATAAAAAATAAAATAAAAAACTAAATAATAATAAAATAAAAAAAATAAAAAATAAGACAATAAATAAATAAATAAGAGAAGATAAATAGAAAGGAAAAAATAAAAATAAATTTATAGAGAAAAAAATTGGTTCGGTTCATGATTTTAGGTTCAAGAATTAGTTTTTAAAAACGATTCAGTTCAAGAACTGATTTTTAAAAATTAAATTTTCTAAGCATACTATTTTTTGTGGATCTTTTACACACCCTTAAAATTGATTTTTGAGCCAATCCTGAACTCAAATGAAAAGTATAAAAATATTAAAAAAATAAAAATAAAAGTTAAAAACATAAATAATACCACAAACTTAAAAATAAGCAATAAACTATTAAAAAATGGGAGTTAAACTTCTCCTAGGACAAAGCAAAGTTCTCCAGCTGACACTTCAATCTGTGCTGGTTTTTTTTTTTTTTTTTTTCAAAACACATGGGCCATAAGCTTTTTTCTCTCTACAGGTGAAGATTAGAGTCTATTTACCCATTAAAAATATAAAATAAAATAAAAATAAGAGAGACAAACATAAGATACAAAAGAAAAGAAAAAGAAAAAATTGAAGAAATAAAGATAAATGAGGAAAGAAAATAAATAAGAAAGAAAAATAGATAAATAAAAAGAAAAAAAACCAATCCAGTTCATGATTTTTTTAAACCAGATCGATTTTAAATTGGTTTTGAAAATGAATTCGGTTCATAAACCAGTTCAATTTATCAACTGGTTTTTAAAAAATAGTTCAATTCTTTTTTTAAAGCAGACACTTTATCCTAAGCTAGCGCCTTATTAAATTAATTATCTCATCTGTTGACGTATATCCCATCATTTATATATACTGAATATAGTCTCATTACAGGCTTCCACGTCTTTCTGTCTAATTTCGCATGAATTTAATTAGATTAACTGTTTTCAATTAATCCCTTGAACAAATAAATAATGAAGAGCAAATTAATAAGGCTATTCAAAATTATTTTAATTAAAAAATCCAATAAATTCCTGGTAACTATATTAAATCACTGTCACAAATACATCAAGAAAATGTTCACTCAAAGAAAAGAAATAAACTAACACACGTTTACAAAGATTTTCCAACATTATGACATACTACAAATTGATCAGTCCAAGAACTCTACCGAACTTAAACAAAAGTTAATTATATCATTCTTAATCCGTCACTACCCAAGGAAAGTTCAAAGAAAAAGCAAATACATGAAACGACGTAATTACTTAAATAGTAAAATTAAAGTACCAAATTTGTTTCCTAAAGGAACAAATAAATATGCAACATCATCTTTCATTCCTTCACTATCTTCCGTCAAGAAAACAACTTTGCTTCTCCAATGCTCCTCCACCTTAACTAGTACTCTATCCTAATAAAATGAAAAAAAAGAAAGAAGAAGACTTCTACCCTGCTATAACCCATGTGAATATATAATTATTCTAATTGAAATTGATCCTCTCGTGTCATCTAAGTTCATATAAGACGATCCCAACTGTCTATAAATAAAAGGTAAAAAATCCCCAAGGGTAGCTCAGTTGGCAGCTGAGCTCCCAAGGGATTGCTTGGTGCAGGGATCAGACCCTGCCTCAAGCAGTTTCTTGAAAAATCTTTGGGGGCCAGAGGATAAGCCAAAAATCTTCGGTTGGGGGATTAGTCTCGTCCTTTCTCCGGTTGCGAAGCTTAGTGCACCCACTGTTACAATGAGGGGCTAGCCCAAACGGGCCGTACCCTGAGGGCATGGTGTCCGGAGAAGGTTGAATGGGGATACCTCCTGGCAATGTACCAAAAAAAAAAAAAGGTAAAAAGTGTTGGGACAGAAAGAATAAGTATAATATCGTTGATTTGTGTGTAAATAATTAAGATAATCTTTTATGTCCTAATAATCTTAAAATAACACATGGGATGATGTATGTCCTTTCAAGCACAAATGTCTTGCATGCAATTCCATTAATTGTCATGCAAACTCAACATTTTGTAGCCAATTTTTTCACTTCCCAAATCAAACCCTCACAAAAAACACACTAAGCTCGGGCCCATTGTTCCCATCATGAGGCATCATCATGTAATAAGTCTCTGAGTCCCTAGATCCAACAACACGTTCAAAATGCGCCCTCATATACGAGAGTTCTCCATCATGAGGATCTGACATCTCGTTGGGAAGAACACCAACCGCTATGGAAACAGCATGCAACAACTGCATCACGTTCAAATCATCATCTGTAGGCTCTCTCTTCACCCCATAACCCGTTTTCTTACCATTGCAAAACAATGTCCAAATGGGTTCATCAACGATCTTTATCTTCTCATTGTTTTGGTGCTTCTCACACTCTAAGGCTATCCTATTAAGCCCCATTCCCATGTCTTGAAAAAGCTTCCCTGTTGGAATAGCTAGCTCAAGAAGAAGAAAGGGTTCACACTTAGCGTTTTCTTGGAACGCAATGTTCACCCTCGCTTTCCGGTGACCAAATAGGGTTCCGGTTATCCTAGTGCCACCGTGAATAAACATGTCGTTGGAGCGGTTCCCGTTCATCACCGGCATCTTGCACGATGGCACGATGATGGGGAATGACCGGAAAATTGAACGGAACTTTCGAAAGACTTTGTGGGACTTGGAATCGTGTTTGTTCTTGCTATTTGCTGGTTGCAAGGAGATGGACGCACGGAGAGGCGATAAATGCTTCTCTGGGGCCGCGGTGGTGTTGGTGTCGGGGCAATCTTCTTTTGATATTGGTGATGATGGTGGCGGCGGTCGTGGTGGCTCTGGCAACATATAAGGTGCCATTAATGTTTAGAAGAAGGGAATGAAATGAGGTGAAGAAGAAACTTTTGAGGTTTTTTAAGGCAAATTAGGGTTGCACGTTTGGTTTATTGTTTGAGTTTCGGGGTGAGTTGTACAAGGTGTTTATTTATACGAAGAAAACTAGTTATTGGGGTGCACGTTGGGGTTTGGTGGCTGTTGTTTTCTTTATAGGTTTGAAAAACACAGATATTTTAAAAAATATTTCCTAGTACTGACTTTTGTTTAGGATAGTTTAATTGGTTGAGTTTTTTTTTTTTTTGTTTCTGAAGAGAATTGGGAGAGACTAATTAGTTTGTTTGGTTCGGTTGAAAAAATGGGCTAAAGATAGGTAAAATGAATGACATGCTTGGTTAATCAATTCTGGATTTCTAGACGTTTTGCATGGTTATTAGCTTCTTAGGTAATGGGTAATTTGATTTTCTGGATTTGATCCCACTTCCAGAATTGTTGGGTGCTTAACGATTTTCAGATTAATTACTTTTTAAGGTGTGTACATCTTAGCTTCTTAGGTAATGGGTGGTTTGATTTTCTGGTTTTTTTGTAACTGCTGGAATTGCTGGATGCTTAACGATTACCAGATTAATTACTTTTTTAAGGTGTGTGTATAAAATAATCTACCTCTTGCATTCAAGTTGTTATATATGGTAGAGAATAATATAAAATTATTAAAAAGACTCTTACTCAATAACTTAAACTTTTAGGTTGAAGTGATTTTTTATATGGTATCAAAGTTTCTTTGATCATAAGGTCACGAGTTCGATCCGCACAGTCTCTACTTTTAGTAGAATAAATCATTAAAAAGAGATTTTAGGTTGAATTGGTTCTTTACTGTATATAAATAAAGGGAATAACATCTATCCTTTTAAAGGATATAAGTTTATATCCTTTAAGATTCTAACCGTTGATTTCCGTCCATCAACGGTTATAATTTATTGAATTAAAATTATTAATTAATTAATAATAAATTTGGCCAATTAAGTTTGGCCCAATAGATTATAACCGTTGATGGACGGAAATCAACGGTTAGGATCTAAAAGGATATAAACTTATATCCTTTAAAAGAATAGATGTTTTTCCCATAAATAAATAAGAAGGATATTAAACTTAATTAAACACAAAAGGTTATTCTAAACTTTTGTGAGCGGTAGTGTCATTTGAGCTAGAATTTTTGTAATTGAGCTAGATTTCGCAACATATTGGAACCTCAATGATATCGAGTCACTTTAAGATTGAAAAAAAAGAAATAGAGTAAAGAGAAGAAAGATATCAACAGAACCAATTAAACTACTATAAGGGCATGTGAAATATGACTTCTACCTAATGTGTTTTCAAATCCAAATTGGTCATTAAACCCATAAACAGGTGTTTAACATTTAACAAGATTGAACCGGGAGTGATCTGTGCATGGTTTTACAAATACTCTCACACAATCACCCAAAGAATTAAAATCCAACTACCAACAGAAGAAATTGGCTAGCCTAGATCTCAGAGAAGAGAAGGTAGACTTCTCCTTCTGATTACAAAAGTATTGCACACATTAAAAAAAATAGAGTAAATATCGTTTTGGGTCTCTAGCAAATTTCACGGTACCCGCTTTAGTCTCTAGCAATAAAAAAGACCATTCTTGATTCCTGTAATATTCAAACTAGGCCCACGTTAGTCCTTCTGTCGGTGAAGCTTCAACAGCGTTAATAACGTTGCTTACGTGTAACGTTACTAATCTCAGTCAAATTTCACGTAGGATGAGTAACGTCATAGTTGATAACATTCACACTCTCTGAGTCACATCCCTTTTCTCTCTCACTGCTTCTACCCAAGCAAAAATAAAAAAATGGCGTGGTTGCAGCACACCACAGCAGCACACCACAACTTCACTTCAATCTAAACACATCCACTCCCCGCAAATCCCTAGAAACCAATCTTCAACCTTTCCTTCTCCGGCACCACATCCCCTAACAAATTTTATTTTTTTCATTCTAAAACTCAGACCCTCGACAGCATTGAACTTCTACTTCCTAATTATGTAGAATAAGTGATCAGAAAACAGGATCCCGTGCAACAAATGCAAGTATCATATTAAGAAGTTCCAATACTTCTATAGAAATATATTTTGTACAGAACATAAAAACAGAGAACGGCAAGACTAGAGATTTAGGAAATGAAGCAAGATATATTGATACGTAAGGCACCTTATAAAGAATTTCAATTTTCAAAAATTAATTATGAGAACAACTATTAAATATATTACAGAATAGTCAATCCTATTTTTCTGAAAGCATATAAAAGATTATAGCATCTGTAACGACCCGAAATTTAAAAAATTAAAACAATGGAGTCGCCACCAATTTTATTTACTTTGGAAAAATTGGAAAACCTCTTATTGCAAACTGGTCTTTTAAAATTTTAGATCAAAGGTTCGGGAGTCTAATTATGCGCAGGGAAGGGTGAAAACTTAATCCCACTGCACCCCTGACACATCCGTTAAAAAACGGTTACCTTAAATTAGTTGTGCAGTTTTTTAATAATTTTAGAATATTTGTTTAACCCAAATAAAGCAAGATATTAAAATTATTTACAAGAAAAGAAAACAAAAAATGTAAAAGTTTTATTTTTAACTTGACGGAGAAATTTCGCTCCGACGTATCCTCTGCTGCAATAAGGAACTCAAAGTTACGTCGTTCTGTAGAAAAAATTTATTTGTTAGTTAATTTTAATTTTGAAAGAAAATTATTTTAAGAAAGATTATTAATTTTTGAAAAGGAATCCATCATGGCTCAGAATTTAAGGTAGCAAGACTACACGTAAATTCCTACGAAGCTTACAACACTTGAGGATGATAGACCATACATCAACATTGTACGTCGTTGCTAGGATATTGGGAAATTTAGAACAAAAATATTAGATAAATAAACTTTAATCTTTTTTGATCTTGGAAGATGTTATTTTAGAAAAAAGAATCCACTTTTGCACAAGGTTTAAGATAGCATAGCTATACGAAACCCATATGATATGTACAACACTTGAGGATGGAAGACCATACATCAATGTTGTAGATCATTGCGAGGATATTAAAAATATTTATTTAATATTATTATCATTATTATTTTAAATAACTCCACATTGCACAAAATATAAGATAACATGGCTATTGTTATAAAAAAAAAAAAGATAACATGGCTATACGTTATCCATATGATATTACAACACTTGAGGATGGAAGACCATACATCAACGTTACAAATCATTGCGTAGATAAAAATAAAATTGATATTTATTCTTTTATATATTTTTTTGTGTTTTTATAATTTTACAGTAGCTAAAATAAATCTAAAGATTATGAAATTAACAAAACTTCATGCCTAAATTATTTCCCAATATAATTTCTAAGCTATATAAGAAAAATTCTAATAAAACATGAAAAGCATAAGAAAATTCCTAAAAATCAAGAACATAAAAGCATGCAAAGAAAATTATTAACTAAAGGAGAAAGTAAGTGGACTTACCTCAAAGATGACCAAAACTTGGTGTATGGAGCCAAGTTGTAGAGAACCACCCCAATTTTCCTAAAAGGAAAAATAGTAACTAAATTTTTTTTACTACGACACTAGCTTCGTTTTAAACCAAGCCCAAGTGTCTTGTTTTTTTTACTTGGTTTTTTTACTTAGTTTTAAAACTAGCTTAGTGTCGTAGTAAAACTAAGCTAGTTACTAATTTTCCTTTTTTAGGAAAATTAGAGTGGTTCTCTGCAACTTGGCTCCATACACCAAGTTTTGGTCGTCTTTGAGGTAAGTCCATTTACTTCCTCCTTTAGTTAATAATTTTCTTTGCATGCTTTTATGTTCTTGATTTTTTATTTTCTTATGCTTTTCATGTTTTATTAGAAATTTTCTTATATAGCTTTGAAATTGGGAAATAATTTAGGCATGATGCTTTGTTAATCTCATAATCTTTTTGATTTATTTTAGCTATTGTCTTTAAATGTTCATTTTTGCACTGTTTTTTTATTTAAAATAAAAACAAAAAAATATAAAAGAATAAATATATCAATTTTATTTTTATCTACGGAATGATTTGTAACGTTGATGTATGGTCTTCCATCCTCAAGTGTTGTAATATCATATGGATATACGTATAGCCATGCTATCTTATATCTTGTGCAATGTGGATTTATTTAAAATAATAATGATAATAATATTAAATAAATATTTTTAATATCCTAATGATCTATAACGTTGATGTATGGTTTTCCATCCTCAAGTGTTGTACGTATCATATGGGTTTCGTATAGCTATGCTATCTTAAACCTTGTGCAAATGTGGATTCTTTTTTCTAAAACAACATCTTCCAAGATAAAAAAGATTAAAGTTTACTTATTTAATATTTTCATCCTAAAGTTCCCAATATCCTAGCAACGACGTACAATGTTGATGTATGGTTACCATCCTCAAGTGTTGTAAGCTTCGTAAGAATTTACGTGTAGTCTTGCTACTTTTAAATTTTGAGCTATGATGGATTCCTTTTCAAAAATTAATAATCTTTCTTAAAATCATCTTCTTTCAAGATTAAAATTAACTAACAAATAAATATTTTCTACAGAACGACGTAGCTTTGAGTTCCTCATTGCAGCAGAGGATACGCCGGAGCGGATTTTCCCCGTCAAGTTAAAAAATAAGATTTGTAAATTTTGTTTTCTTTTATTGTAAATAATTATAACATCTTGCTTTATTTGAGTTAAACAAATATTCAAAATTAATAAAAATTTGCACGACTAATTTAAGGTAACCGTTTTTTGAAACGGATGTGTCAGGGGTGCAGTGGGATTAAGTTTCCACCCTTTGCATAATCAGACTCCCGAACTTTTGATCTAAAATTTTAAAAGACCAGTTTGCAATAAAAGGTTTTCCAATTTTTCCAAAGTAAATAAAATTGGTGGCGACTCTTGTAACACCCCGTGTTAACCTGGTTTGTTAACATGTCATCGT